TATACACAATGCCATACAGCACTTTGCTTATTTTCCAAGTTATCATGCTCACAACATTCACAGACGGACAGAGGTTATTTCCAGTTCCTCCTCATTATTCGACAGGGGTCAGCAAACTGAAAGCACAGGGAACTTGGACAGGACAGAACGGATTGTGCTGGTTTGGTTTAGCAAACAGTGCTCTGCTAAGGGAGACACAGAGGGAAAGGAAATATACAGGGCTAGACACCTAAAGAGGAAAAATTGAGAACTGGTGAGAGTGGGCGGGGCAGGAGCAGAACACCAAACAAACTAAACACAAGAATTGCCCAACCATTAATAAATAAACACAAAAGGCTAATAAACTAACAAAAACATGGATCCCGATACATTTTTATTATTTTCACACAAACTACAGCTCTCACAACAATAAATAAATAAACATAAAACATACTAAATACACGGTGTCGTGCAAAAGTGTAGAGGTTTAAAATTAGCTATTGTAGTGTTCTTTCACATCAATGTATCATTTTTGAGAAAAAATAAGTTGTTTTATAAGCTTGAAAGCAATTTTTAAAAAGTGACCATTTTTACTTAGCTTTTAGGCTGGCCTGTACAAAGACTTGTGTCTCTTTCTCCATACTCTGAAAAGGTACTAGCTATTCATAACTATTAGATGGAACATTATTTCAAATGATTAGAAAATCCCTTTAATTACTTTTTCCTCAGCAAAAACCAGTAATATTATGCTGTCCATCACTTCACAATAAGGTATGTTTCTGTTGTAATTTCAACAGCTCGACTGTGAATACATTGTTCACATTTAGGAAGGCTAATGTAGTATCTGGAATACAACAACAGTGCTGCCCCCTATTACCTGTCATATTTTGTATACAGTGCCCATGATGTAGAGAAGAAGTGAACATTTTGAACACAGCCTTGGTCTATAAAATTTTCAGCATCCTACCTGTTGAAATGTTGCCTGGACCAGATTGGATGGGAACATGTTGCTGCAAGACAAACACAAATAAAAGTATACTCTGTGTGGATGTAAAGCAGCTAACATACCACTCACCAAATGGCCTCAACAGAGAATCTTGAACTTTGTGCAGTGGTTACAAGAGTAGAAGTCTCAGAGTGACATACAGTAATACCATACCATACCACTTTATTTATAAAGCACTTAAAACAGCTACAAGGCCAACCAAAGTGCTGTACAGACAAAACAACAGGTAACACACCAAGCAAAATACAAAATGAAGTAAATCAGAATATAGACATAAAAACGATGCAAATAATGACGACAAACCAGTGTGGAGCATACAGGATTCAACGTGTACTCTCAATGACAGGGGAATAACAGATCCATTCAGAGCTGAGACTGAGAAATATTGGAACAGCACATGGGAGATGGAGTCGTCACACTATGATAATGGTCTGAGATCTGACCACAACAATGTTCAAGAACGAGAACCAGGGTCCATCACAGAGGCAGACACCCACCACCATCCCCAGAGTCTGACATGATCTACACCTACAGTCTGAAAAAAAATGACTGCTCCCCATGAACACCTCACAGCACAAATAAACCAGCTGTGAATGGAAGTGGTTGAGTCTAGCAGCTAAAATGAAAAGGCACATGGGTCAGTATCTGAGCGAGGCACAGAAGGGGAATTGGTACCAGCACCAGGGAAGCCAATTAACAGCTACCAGTCAACAGAACATAGCTGGAGACTGTAAGACCAGATACACAAACCTGTGCACTAACTAAATTGGCTAGAGGGAAGTCTAAAATACATGGATCCTGACGTGCTTAAAACTCTTCAACATCAACATGACACTAAGAACCGTCATCAAAAACTCAATGGAAATATAAAAGATGACTCTGAGGCTAAATCAAAGCCAGGTGTACATGTCAGCATGCACAAGCAGTGGCTTGTACCAAGGTGTTGCTCTGTTCCCACTGCAGTTCTGCATGGGTCTGAACCCCTTTAACCAGAGTGGTCCAAGGTGGAACAGTCATCAGTCACCTCCTCTACATGGACCAAGCTGACTGCCAAATATGAATTTTCAATTCAAATCAATTCAGTTTATCTATATAGCGCCAAATCACAACAAAGTTTTCTCAGGGCACTTTACAGGAACATTCACATACATAAAAGCCAATTAGTAAAGTTCTCTATCTAAGGAAGACATGAATGAGAAATGAGCCACCTCACAGGTTGTACTGCAACAAGTGAATGCTTCAGACAGTTGAATCCCGATGTGGAAAAAAAGAGGAACAGGGGAACCATCACGTAAATATAGCCCCCTGCTCAACATGTACCACCAGCAGTCCTAAACGTAAAAAGGGTCTCAGGTTAATGAAACTAATTTATTCCTCATGGCTGCCACTGTTGCACTTAAAAACATGCCAAGGTTGCACCATGAAGTTTTATTTGAGCAGGGGTTTTCTTAGGATTGGGATCTTACCGGATTAGATCTAGTAGAGCATCAGCAGAACTCATAATAGGCTTGCTGGTGTCCTCAGAGTCCTCTTTCTGGGCTGCGCCGCCTGGGTGGATGATGGAGACCATCATGATCCCTATGATCACAGCCACAAAGGTGGTCCACAAGTAATAGGACACCGTGATCAGACCAAGCCGACTTGAACACTTAGCATCCAGAGCTGCCAGTCCTGACATCAAACTGTAAGAAAAAAGTTTTAGTAAGTTTCCAAACTCTTAAAAAGTAATCACTGGATGTACGTGTATACCTCATTAACTTTTGAAGTAAATCTGACTCAAGATGGCCGCCACAGCTAATCAACATTAGCCAACACAGAAAGTGGATGTAGCTCTATAATTTTACAGATGCAAAGTTAAAATTTAATGTGGTCATAACTGAGAGTCTTTCTCCAAACATACTCTGAGCTCTAAGCATGTGAGATCACTACCATTACTAATGCAGTCAACTCTGTTAGCTAAATATCTTGTGAACCACTGGATGGATTTCAATGATGCACATCTACAACTAATTATCTTTTAGAATCCACTCTGTTCAGGATGGCCACCAAAGATAATTTACTTTTGCAAACGCATAAAAGTTCTGTAACTTACACTTACTCATATTGAGGTAAAAGTTGTGTGGTAGTAGCTGAGAGTCATATTCAGCTTGTATTTTAAGCACTAACACATCATGTGAGATTTTGATTTAAAACTCTCAAAAGGTGGTGAGCAATAAGGTGATCAACAATTGTTTTTTGAAAATTTTAAAAAATATATCAGCTTTTCAGTAAAATTTCCTTTTCCATAAGTTATAGAATCAACATTATTAAAATACACATGTTTAAAGTCGACTGGAAACAGGTGGATTGCCACCTCTAGGTCGAGAGGGAGTTTTTACCTCGGGTGGAGAAGTTTAAGTATCTGAGCGTCTTGTTCCTGAGTGATGGTTCAATGGAGTGGGGGAAATGGATCAATGGATTGGGGCTTCATTCTCACTAATGAGGGAGTTGCTTTGGTCTTTTGTGGTGAAGAAAGAGTTGAGTCAAAAGTCAAAACTCTCAATTTACTGGTCTGTCTACATTCTAATCCTCACCTGGGGTCATGATGTATGACTCATGAACGAAAGAACGAGATCCTAAGAACGAGATCCTGGATACAAGCTGCTGAAAACAGAGTGGCCAGACTCAACCTTAGAGACAGGGTGTGGAGCTCCGTCATGCGGGGGGTCTCAGAGTAGAGCCGCTGCTCCACCGCATCAAAAGGAGTCAGTTGAGGAGGTTCATCATGTTAGGATGCCTCCTGGATGCATCTATTTAGAGGTTTTTATGTGCACACCTCTCTGGTAGGAGGCTCCGAGGCAAACCCAGAACTCACTGGAGGGATTGTGTATCTTCTCTGGCCTGGGAACAGCTTGTGGTCCTCCAGGAGGATCTGGAAAGAGTTGCTGGGGAGAGGGGGTGTCTAGGTTCTGCTCCTGGGTCAGTTGCCTCCGTACGGATATGCAGTAGAAGATGGATATTAAGAAATGTTCAAAGTGGACAGTTCCTAAACTTTATACCCTTCCAATAAAAAAAAAGGCATTTCAAAGTCCTCGCAGGTGTCTCAGTTGTTTATAAATCCATAAACTGTCAATAAATTCATGACTGAATTTGTAGATAATGTTGTTTTTTTTAATTCTGGGCTACACAAATTGAAAAGACTATGAACAAGAAATTATTTTTGTCTCATGTCTTTAAACTGTTTAATTTCCCAAGTACTCAGAGAAAGCCAGATAGACATGAGTTTGTTTGTGTGTCTGTGGGCCAAAGATCTCAGGAACCAGAGGACAGATTTTTAATAAAACTTGCAAAAAGTTAATATTGGATTTGCATTTAGCTGGTTAACTTTTATAAATCAACTTGATGAAAGATGGCTGCCACTTCCAACAGGACATAGGAAAAACAGTGGCTGTAACACAGTTAATCTATCAGATACGGAGATCAAATTTGACGTGGTAGTAGCTGAGAGTCATTTACAACATGTATATTACATCTCAGGATGTGACATGGAACAACATTATTGTCAAGGTTTGATTAAAATGTTTCACTTCAGCATTTCTCATCACAAGATGATCTTAGTTTAAAACTTTGTCATGGTGGATGGCTGACAACATGCATTCCTTCAATAAAACACTAAGCCTTTAATGTCTTTTAATGTTTCAAAGAAAGAAAAAAATCCTTTGGTCTTTGGGGATGTGCCGTTTTGTTTGAATATTAAAATTTAATTAAACTAGAGCAATCTCAGTATAAATGGGACTTTTTCAAACTTTTGTGTTCTTGTGTCTGTTCTCAAATCCTTGAGCAATGTGCCTGATGTCACTTTATTAATAATTACAAAATGTTTTTTTGTCGGGCAGCATAGTGGAACAATGGGTTAGAGCTATTGCTTCACAGCAAAAAGATTACAGGATCATTTCCCATCTGGTGTCTTTCTATGTGGAGTGTACATGTTCTCCTCGTGCACTTATGGGTTTTCTCCAGTCACTCTGGTTTTCTCAAACCAAAAACATGCATGCTAGGCTAACTGGTAACTCTAAATTGTCTAGGGTGTCCCCTGTTTCTCATACAATGACTGCAAGATGGAAAAATTGGTCAGTTTTGCAGGTATTGAGCTAAAACTTGGACTCCCCTTCCCCCTCCTCCCCTTTGTGTTATTTTAGCCAACCCAGCAGCTGAACAGACATGCAGGGAGCAGCTGCAGGTAAACATTTCTCAAGGATTCTTGCCGGGAATAATCATTGTGGCTACCATAACATTCAAAAGTCTCAGACATAATGAAATATGACCGTCTCCTTAACGATGGTCACATCAAAAATGATTGTAATAAAGAGAAAGGATCATGTCTACATTGTAAAATCTTTCATGAAAACGGTAAAGGAACAGGAAATTGTTATAAAGACTTAATATAGTAAAATTATAGTGCATGGTGCATGCTATACACACAGTAGCTGAGGACTGTCCCATCACATACTCCGAGAACTACAATGTTGACAATAAGAGTTGTAATCGACCCCGTCTGTTAGCAAAATATCTCAACAACTAATTAAATCAATAGATATACAACTGATTGACTTTTACTCCAATTTAAGATGTCCACCACAGCTAATTAGCCTTAGCCAACACAAAAAAATATATATATATTTTTTCCCCAGTTAATGAGCTGCTCTGAGCACTAAATCATCTCACTAGATCTAATAATGTCTAAAAATTATTCAAACGTTTACATTTTTATTATTTCTTATCATTAAGTGGTCTTAGTGCAGTAACTAAATTAGGCCAAAGTGTGGTGTGAAAGCTGGCTGAGGATGTGCATTTCTTGAAGGAACGCTTGGTCTTTAATTTATTCAGTAAAGAGGTGTGAAAGTCATTCAGTCACTCTGTCTTGTTGAAGTGTTTGTGTTAAGATGCTTTCTTTTAACACTCAAACACACAAGGTTAAACTTTATATTCAGCACCAAACAACTTGTGGCTGTCAACGATAAATAGGTAAGGTGTTTGTTTTATTTATTTCCCAAAACTAAACAGGATTTTGAAGTTTTTATCATATGAGAATTTTTTAATATACTGCTATTGTGAAACAACAGATTGAAATTTACTCTTGTTGGTTGAAGTGGTAATTTCAATTAAAAAAAAATTAAAAAAAATCTTTTGCATTTTAATTGGTCTGCATTCACAAACTAACCCGCCAGTTACATTTCAGTCTACAATAAAATGTTTATACAGTCAGTAAATGAAAATGGAAAAATGTATGATTGAACAAATTGTTTTTTGATGACAAAAAAGTGTCACTGTGTGCCATGAAATATCAGTATTGTCATTTAATCAAGTCACACAGCTTTTCTGAGAAATGAAGAAGCTGAAGTTGTTACAATTTTAGACAAGCTCAAATGTTGCACTGTCATTCTAAGTTTATGTATTAACAGTAGAGTGAGTGGGTATTCATAGAAGTCAATGGGTTTGTTGTGAGTTTGGGACCATCCAGTCTTGAATAGTTTCATACATTTATAGTGTTGATAGTCTGTGGCCGGTGTTAGACTTTGAAGATGACCATGTGTTGCATAAATTGCCATGTGTCATTCAATAAACCATGAAGCTCTGCCTGAGCTGATGCTCTTTCATTGTAAGAAGACAGACTGTTGTCCTTATGTAGCTTATGACTTGTATGACCAATGATGTATAAAGCAGCATTTAATTAAAATGGGAGCATGCGTCACCCTATGACAAATCTAAATTCATCACGAAGATATGAAAAACAGTATACAGGAAGTAATGAGGGAAACCATTGGGATCAAGCAAACAGGGCTGTTATGAACTGCTGGTACCTGGACACAACCAGTGGAAGAATCAGCATCTTCAGCATCCTCATCAGCAGCTCTCCAGGAAATTGGAAGTATTTCACCTCCTGCCCAGAAGAGAGAACAAGTCAGGTAAGTTGCAGAGAAAATGCATTAGACTGGGATTGAAATGCAAATGAAAAAAAAAAAAAAACCCAGTTAGAAACAAGAACAGCACTGGAAGACAGGTGACTTGTTTTTGGTGTCCAGTTGGTGTCCAAACACTCTGGTCTGTTAACAGAAATGAGGCTCTGATCATCTTTTAGGTAAAAAAAAAAAAAAAAACTAAAAAGTTTCACAGCCAGGAATATTTACTAGCTAATGTCAAGATTTGAATAAGGATAATGTAAGTGATGGGAAACAAAAGCTACAGTTCTTTTTCCCATAATAATTTAGAATAATTACTAAAGGATGGGAATATTTAAAGCCTTTTCATTACCAATGATACAAGTCAAAAACTGATTTTAAATCAACTAACATTTGTAGAAGGTTGTCCTTGCAAGTCATTATCCTTCACTTCATTGCCTGGGTTCACAATTTCAGACTGGGAAGCAATGGTTTCTTAATCCAAATGTAAAATCACTATTTGTGATGGACTGGAGACCTGTGCAGGTGTCCCCCATCTCTCGCACAGTGACTGCTGAATACGGGCACCAGTGACCCCCCATGATCCAAAAAGAAAGAAGTGGTTAAAGATAATGGCTGAATGGATGGATCATTATTTGTGACTTTATTTCCAAAAGTACAGTAATGTAAGTTAATGTTCACAGGAAGTACAAGTTTCTAATATAAACAAATACAGATGTGGTAAAGTTTGTTTGTATCCTTTTATTAAAGAAAGAAAAACCCACAAAGACCACTAAAACAACTTTAGACTGACCAAATGAACAACAAGGAAAAACACTAAAAAAATCAACAAATTATAACCAGTGTTTGTTTTAAATTTTGGACCACCAGAATTATTAGAAATAAATAAATAAATAAATGAATAAAAGTGGCCTTAACAAAAATGGTGGTACCCATTTCTTAGTAATTTGTTTTCTAACCTTTTGAGGCAATCAGTGCAATAAAGTGATTTAAGCCAAGCAGACGTCGGCATAAAAAGGCTGGTAACACACATCTACATTTCATTAGCAGCATTAAAGCAATTTGGGTTTTCTGGCCAATACATTTACTTCTGTCCGTTTTTCAAAATGTCATCAAATATGCCCTGATATTGTACACATAGATACATCACAGGAAACAAAACTCTCATCAGCAACACCTGGAGCTTCAGCACCCTAGACAACTCAACAATAAGGTACAAGGTTTATTCAGGAGATCAAAGTAACCTCTCATTCTACATCTGTCACTTGGACTGGGATCCTTTAGGCACCTCACAGTTTGATTAGACTATGATTCATAGGGTTGTGATCTTATGACAAAATAATTATTAATACATTTGGAATATCTCCATGCATGAATATCTCCATGCATCCTAAACCAGCCACAAGGGAGCACAAGCCAGCGTATCTCTTGTGCTGGTCCCAAGCCGGGGTAAATGGTGAGGGTTGTGTCAGGAACAGCATCTAATGTAAGACCCTTTTGCCAAAACCATAATGCGAGTTCATCAAAGCGAAACCATACTGGATCGGTCGAGGCCTGGGTTAACAACCCGGGGCCACCGGTGCTGTTGACAAACAGGGTACCGGCGAAAATTGAGCTACTGTTAGTCAAAAACCACGAGGAGGGAAACGTGTCAGGAGACAGAGGGAGAAGACGAAAGTCAATAATGTAGGACTGAGGGTTGCAACTCTAAATGTGTGGACAATGACAGGCAAAGGAGGGCTGACTGACATGATGCAGAGAAGGAAGGTAGATGTTTTATGTGTCCAAGAGACCAAGTGGAAGGACTATGATGTTTGCAGATGACGTGATCTGTGGTGAGAACAGGGAACAGGTGGAAGAGAATTTGGAGAGGTGGAGGTATGCACTTGAAAGAAGAGGAATGAAAGTCAGACATAGTAAGACACAGTACATGTGTGTGAATGAGAGATAGGCTGGTGGAACAGTGAGGCTACAAGGAGCAGAGGTCACAAAGGTGCAGGACTTCAAGTATTTGCGGTCCACTGTCCAGGAAAATGGGGAGTGTGGTAAAGAAGTGGAAAAGAGAGTCCAGGCAGGATGGAGTGGATGGAGATAAGTTTCAGGAGTGATTTGTGACAGAAGGGTGTCAGCAAAGGTCAAAGGACATTTTACAAGACAGTGGTGAGACCAGGGGCAGCACGGTGGCACAACTGGTAGAGCTGCTGCCTCTCAGCGAGCAGGTCCTTGGTTCAAACCCCGGTCCAGGGGCCTTTCTGGGTGGAGTTAGCATGTTCTCTCCGTGCATGCGTGGGTTTTCTCCGGGTGCTCCGGTTTCCTCCCACAGACAAAAAACATGCATGTTAGGCTGATTGGTAACTCTAAATTGTCCCTAGGTATGAGTGAGAGAGTGAATGATTTTTTGTCTCGTTTGTCTCTATGTGGCCCAGTGATGGACTTGCGACTTGTCCAGGGTGTACCCCGCCCCTCGCACAGTGATTGCTGGACATGGGCACCAGCGACCCCCGTGACCCAAAATGGAATAAGCGGGTAAAGATAATGGATGGATGGATGGTGAGACCAGCTATGTTGTATGGTTTGGAGACTGTGGGAGAGGGACAGTGGGTATATTGGTAGAAGGATGTTTTAAATGCAGCTGCCAGGAAAAAGACAAAGAGGAAATGAATGCAGTTAGAGAGGACATGGAGGTAGTTGGAGTAAGGACAGAGGATCCAGAGGACAGAGTGAGATGGAGGAGCATGACTCGCTGTGGCATTCCCTGAAGAGAGAAAAGCTGAAAGAAGAAAAAGAAAATTATTATAATTTGATGCACATCTTGGAGTCACTGCAGTTCAAGATGACTGCCCCAGTCAACTGACCTACTTTACTAAACTTTGTGTAGTTGTGGACTTGAGACATTGACAACACATAGTTTACCTGCTACAACTGCATCATTTCTCAACATAAAATGACTTTAGCCTAAAACAGAAGATGTGTCAGCTTTAGCAATATCAAACTTTGGAACTGTGTTGCCTCCATCATGAAGAGAAGATGAGAATTAGAATTACCCTCCCTTCACCTTGTGGGCTTGATAAGTGGAAAATAAACAAAGAACAACTCTTCTTTTCCACAGTGAAACTCCTCCCTGTGTGAAAATCTTGAATCAAAAACATTAAGGTTTACTTACATTCTCTGTTCAGTTCCAGTCCAGAAAAATACTAATCTCCAAAACTACAAAACATTCACTATTCAAATTTCTCAGCGACATGGACCTTGGTGTACGACATGCCTATTTCAGAACAGAGCAGAGAATGTATTCAAAGTAAGCTTAAAAACACAACATCTTGGATGAAATGTGGCGGGTAACAAGCATTCCATCAAGGAATGTTAAACTGTTAATTGTTTTTTGGAAACCATCATTCACTTAGTTTAAAAAAAAAAAGAGTATTTTATAGTGCATCTCTGAGAACGATGCAAAATATAAACAAGACAAACACCTCCATGTTCTTTAATCATGGCAGTCGGAATCATGTCTGCTTCTCACTAAAGTCCATGCTCAATAATTCAGGTATAAAATCCAATAATTTTCAGTCAGGTCATCTGAATGGTTTCCTTTTTTGTGTGTGTGCTTAGACGTTTCGCCTTCCATCCAGAAGGTTTCATCAGTCTGAGGAAACACCAAACAAAACTGCTTCTTCGAAAGGTCTCAGCACAAAAAAAAAGAAACCGTCCAGATGACTTGACTGAAAATTGTTGGCATGCCTGCTTCAGCTCATCTATGCACTACATTAAAGTTTATAATATTTTATATCAGACCTTAGGGAGCCAAATAATGAAAAGAACAGCAGAGAAAAATTCCCACAGCTCAAACAACATAGTGTTTTTTCCTTAGTAGATTTCTGGATCAGAAACGAACGAGATACTCAGCAACACTTCTTTAGTGTACCGTTTTCCCATAAACGAATTT